GCTAAGGCGACTATGGCAACTAAGCTAGATAATTTAAAAGTTTCTAAAGGGAAAAAATAGACAAGTTAACACTTTAGTTTTATATCCGGCATTATAAGAATGTTGGAAACAAACGCGTTCGTGAAAGATCGTTTTTTGAAATGATGAACGGTGTTCCTTTTATTTACGAACTTTGAAGGTAAACGCGTTCCTTTTTTATGATGAACGCGTTCGAAATTAACCTTCGTTCAATTTAAAAAATACTTTTTATTTTATTAGAAAAATTTAATATTAATCCGAATTTTTTAAGAAAAAAAGTCTTGTATTTTATAATCAATTGTTTTTCCTTTTTTCATATTTCAATTTTTTTACACACCATTATTATAGTTTATTAATTTGAATATAATTGTTTATATTTTAATTTAATAGATTAGCATAAGCATAAATACTGTTATTTCATCATAATCATCTATTTCTGAAAATTCAAAATCAGATGAATTTTACCATGGCCCAAATATGATAAATATTTTACAGTAACATATTGAAGGAACTAATTCAATGCTTACCAAATGTTAAATGTACCTTAAAAGTTTTATATTACTTTCAAACCTCAAGTTACAATTTAAAACTACGAATATTAATTATTTTATTTTATATAGTATAATAATTAAGTAAAATAAATAAATTTGACGAAAAAATGCTTGGCTATTTGACAAAACAATATCGATAATTATCTTAAAATTAAAAAAATTAGTGGCCTAAGATATGGTCAACCACTGATAGACGCAGTATAAATGAGATTAATGAAAGGTATTAAACCTATCAATTTTATTTTTTGAAGATTTAAACATATATATGAAGATCAATATGTTCTTTCTGCAATTATACGTACAGTATTCAAGCTTCAAGGGCCATGGATAAAACTTCCATAGAACGAACCTATAAAAGATAAACTTATAGAATTTTTAAAAAAATTCATTGAAAACCCAAGAAATGAGTTAATTTCGAGATATCCTATTTTTTGACGAGGAGGTAGTGGATGGATAGGAGAATAACTTATCTCGATTTTTGAAGCAAAAGACAAAACAATAAATGTTTTAAATAATTCCCCACGTTAAAAGAGTTGACCGCAATCCCCTTATCTGCCTCTGTAGAGCGCGTTTTTAGTATAGCTAATGCCGTATTAACTGCCAAGGGTTCCTCTCTATCAGATGGAAATTTTTAAAAACAATTATTTTAAAAATTAATAAGATCATTAGTCCCTATAATATATTGTATTTATAATAGAGATCTGCAAAGTTAGGCCCGGCCCGGTCGAGCTCGGGTCTAATTCTATTTAAAATAATAGGGTTCGGGCCGGGCCGGGCCTAATATTTTTAAAAAAATTTCCGGCCGGGTCGGGTCGGACCTTGGAAATTTTATTAAATATATCTAAATTTATCAATTTTATATTGAATTTTTTATGTAAAATAAAAAATTTTGCGTCTTTTATTTTAAGTAATTATAAAAATTAATTTCTATATTTAAATAAATTCGGGCATGGCCGGGCCGGTAAATTTTTTTAAAATAAATTTCAGGTTCGGGCCGGGTCGGCAAAACTTTTTAAAAAATTTCGGGTTCGGGCCGGGCTGGCAAGACTCTTTAAAAAAAATTTCGCGCCGGACCGGGTTTGAAAAATTAGGCCCGATGCAGATCACTAATTTATAATTATATTATCAAAATAAAATTATATTATTTTTTAACATGGCTAATATATTGTGTTAAACATTTAAGACATTTATTTCTATTAAATTTAATTTAAAAAAAAATTTATTATAAAATTTTGAACGAAGGCATGAAAGCGTTCGTTTTTATTGAAAATGAACGATGCGTTAGATTTTTTTAGGAACTAATTATTAATAATGTATATGCATATTATTTATACCACCTATAAGATATGTTTTTATTATTATTAAACATAAAAAAATTAAAAGGTGATTATATATTTTTAAAATATTAAATAATAGTTTTACTAATGCTTGTGAATAATGCTAACTCTATATGAAAATAAAATTTTGTGTCACAAAAAAAACAAATAAAAAGTTATACTTTTTAAAATATTTTAAAATTCTTAATTAAAAAATATATTTGAAGGCATTTATTTTTTATTGTTCATTTTAGATAAATTTAAGAATGCATTAATTAATTTAGTATTTTTTGTTAACATTATTTTGTCAAAATATATATAGAATATAGACTACTTTTATTTTAGTTCATCAGTGAAGGGGTTGCCCTATTCATTATAAATTTTGTTTTTTTCCATTTCCTTTAAAATCATGTTCTTCCGTTTTTTAAAAATCTTTTCATTTTTTATATTACCCAAAAAATGTATTAGGCCTACGATTTGCCCGTGATCAAGCTTTCGTAACCAATTTTAAAAAAACCGGCCGTGACTCAAGAGTGAGTGTAAATTGGATTTCCAATCTAATCCAGCGGATTACGATTTTTTTTTAAATATTACGATTTAATAATTATTCTGGATTTCATGTATTTTCGTTGTTTTAATATTTAATTTGAATTGTTTATAAAATAAACTAAATATTACACTAGGGCTGACATCCTGAACACTTTTAACCGTTGAATTTAACAGAACTATAATTTTTTTAAAAATTTTCTTTATATTCAGCCTGAGGATATGAATTTTGTTTCATAAATAATATATTGCCTGACAAATAAATTAATTTAAAAAATGCTATCAAATATTATGCAATTAACTACTTGAATAGCAAAATAATTTTTTTTACCTATATTCAAACTAATATTTTTTTCATTTCTATTCTAATGACAAAACATTTTATTAAACAAATTAATATATTTGAAGTGAGTGTAACATTGGGGCTTTTTTGTGGTAATATTTCCCTTAAAATTGGGTTTTTTCGTAGTAGGATATTTTCTCATATCTTTTCTAAAGTTTTTATGTTTTCTGGTTGCTATTCCTGCTGAAATTGCATTCAAGATGCGAGTTAAACTTATATTAGCGAAATAGATAAATTGAATCTGCTACAGACCTTGCCATATCCAATGAAAATAAACCGGCTCTCGGCCGTATGTTCTAGTGTATATTTCCTCTATTATTTCATCTGTGCAGCCAAGATAATGGCATTTTATAATTCTCAAGGATGTTAAACCTATAACAATTTTCACCAGATGGCGTCGCCTACTAGCCAAATTATTCATGAGTCTGATATAAATTATAACACCTAACGATCTAAGCCTCAATTAATTTCTAATTAAAACTATAGGTAAATGCTTAGTTGTTATCCCCAAGACCTGAATCTACCTATACACCAATCCCTCTGATGACTTGTTTATCAAAACCTATAAATGCATTCATTTAATGATCTAAGACACAGTGAATTCTTGAAGTCTGTCCTAATCTGTCTAGTCTCTAGATAAAAGCATTCGCCGTCTTGGAATTCAATTTGCTAAACAACGACCAATTTTATTAAAATTCCAATAAAATCTTTTAATATTATATTTACCTGAATTATGTGAACACTTCCGATCTGCTATTCCTGTAGCACAGAAATGTCGTTAGACTCAGTAAAACCCAGAGTTTCCTGGGTTCGAACCAAGATTTAGGTTTATAGTAGTCCGCAATCAACCTCCATATAGTTTCACATATGCTACCCGAAAACAACGATTTATTTGTATTATATCATAAATATGTATGGTAATGATCCAAACAATAAAAATAAATAAACTTTTCGTTCGAACTCCAAATAGTGAGTTTTAATATTAACCACATTTCACATAATTTTACACATATGCACAAAATTCTATTACCTCCCAGCCCATGCATTTTTCCTGTTAAAGAATTATCTTGCAATTACAAATATTATTTACACCTACTGACCTACGAGTATGAGGTAAAGAAATGGATAGTCCTCATTCTTAAATTTGGAAAATTATCTTGGCTGCAAACCACTCTGCCCTCAAAAACAGATAGAAATTGAAGTTTCACTATATTGTTTTCACATTCGGATCCTCTACTTAATTAGGTTATCGATATTTGGAAGTCCTCTTATCCTAGTAGACCCCCTTTAATCTCATTGCTAAGAAATTAGGATTTGACCTAGGACAATTTCATTTTTTTTCAAATCGAGAAGCCAACTTGAGGGACATTCCATTGTCTTTTAATTTCTAGCAATCTTAACCGATTATTAACAAACAATGCGTAAATGTCAAATGTTTTAATGGCTCCTCCAATCCTAAATGAAGATTGATAACTTCTAATCTTCTTGCCACTTGCACCTTCCAAATAAACCTAGATGATATGGCCGATACAGAAAGAAAGAAGCGAATCTGTCAAATATTCTTTTGCGCTACTTATTTATTAAGAATCATCGTATCTAACACATTTACTTTTGACCCTTATGCTCTCAATTTCATCCACGATCTAGAGAGCATGGTTTTCAGAATCGGCAAAGAATAGCAAAAATATTCACATTAGCTTCATATACTCCATTGCAAGTTGTACATTTATTAATAGATTGGGCTATCATTATTTATATATCTTATTTCATTTTTTATTTTATTATTTATTTATTAAAAAAATTTTTGTGATTAATATGTATTTATATTAAACTCTGTTTAATTTATGAATATATAATTCTATTCAAAATAAAATATTTTATGTTTATAGATTTATATTTTATAAAATATTTTTGAAAAAATTAAGTTAAATCAGACAGATAAAATAATCCAAGAAAGTTTTTACACAGATTTTTCATTTTTATAATATTTTATGATTTATTATATATGTAGCCTTAATTTCTTCTTTATCTTATATTTATTTGTGGCTAATAGTATCACGATAGCCCTTTAGTTCTACCCCGAATTACATTTGAATTCTTAGATTTATCTGTTACCTATCTATGCAATATATTCACCTTTGATAATAAACAAAATTTATTTTATAGAAAAAGAAATCATTAAGAATATAATTAATTACTGAATATCATTATAAAAAAATTAAACGGATTTTTTGTGTGAACAGAAACCTCGAAATGTCTTTTAAGCGCTTTTCGTACTAAGGTCAGCTGTGGAAGTAATATGTAAAAAATATTGTGAATGATAGAATTTAAGTAGTGTTATAAAACGCTCAATTTAGGTCAATTTTTAAAAAAACGGCCCTATTAGAATTTTAGCCAAAATAATATTATGTAAGCCGGGATATTTTTCTCATAGATGGCATAAAGGTTTGGACCTCTATTTGCCAAATCTTGAGATCTCAGGCTTACATAATATCATTTTGACAAAATCTTAATTGGGCCGATTTTAAAAAACAACCCAAATCGAATCGTTTAACACTATTTATAAGTAATAAATATTAAAAATTTATAAATAGTTTACAGTCATAATCTAACATTTTTCAAAGATTTAAAAACGCATATTTTTATCATCCTATCCTAAGTTAAAAAAAAACACGTTGAATTATGTCTTTGAAACAATTTGACTAAATGGCTCTTTATTTATACAGAATTGCTTTTAAATATAAATAAGCATTTATTAAATATTACCTTCGTAAGTACTACTGGCGTATTGGTCCGTCGCCCCAGATTCTGAACCTTTACTAGCGTCATAAGCAGTACTACCATAGGCATCTGTACCGTATGCAGTACTTCCCTCGGTTCCATAAGTTGTGCTACCTGCTGCTAAAGTAGGTTTAAAAAAGTCACAATAAATTATCAGGAAATAACAGTTATACAATAGATGTTACGTAAAGTGACATGCCAATTTTATTATATAATTATGAATAATAATATTTATATCTTATGTTATCATTGACACAACTTAGTCAGTAGCTCTGTTAGTAGAGGAGCATAGGGGTTCATGCCCCATGAAAAGTTTGAAGAGAAGCGCCCCTGGTAATATATAATTTTTAGATACAGCCTTTATTTTAGAAAATTTTAAGTAGACATACTTTTTGGTGCTCTTTTTAGATCGATTTTGTTAGTGTTTGGAGATCTTAATGAGTTATAAAAAGTTTAAAAAATCTAGCAGCAACTCTACTAGTGTTATATGATTTATTGAATTCCTTTAAATGTCCCACTCACTTATTGCTTTAAATGTTTGATTCTTACTATTAAACTATGAAAAAGTCCTCTTAAGACAATATTCTCAATAAGATAATATAGAACTTTTATTAATATATATAAAATCATTTAAAGGACTATGTATTAATATGGATAGAATAATTGACTTGCCTTCGATGAATGTTTTTCATGTCTTATTAAAAATTTAGTTCAGTTATGTTATATTTCAAATTTTTATAAAAAACCAAAACAATAATGTATAGTAAAACCTTCCGTTCCGTATGCACTGCTGCCATATGCATCTGAACCGGCTACTGTACTTCCATATGTGTCTGTCCCGTATGCCGAACCGCCATAAGCATCAGAACCAGGAGCCGCACTTCCATAAGCATCTGTACCATATGCACTGCTACCATATGCATCTGTGCCATATGCAGTACTGCCATAAGTATCTGAACCTGAAGCAGTACTTCCATATGCGTCAGTGCCATATGCGTCAGTGCCATATGCTGAACTGGCGTATGCGTCAGAACCGTATGCCGCACTGGCTCCGCTGCCATAGGCGGAAGAATCGTAGGCTGAGTATTCACCCCCATATGTAGCGCTTGCATCAGTACCCCCATATGACCCGTAGTCACCGCCTTTTTAAATATGAAAGAGAGCGATTATAATGCAAAAATTAATAAAGGTTAGATAATGCGTTATAATTATGAATTATAAGAAAGCACTTAATTTTATTATAATATTTTGTATTAAGTTAAAATCTCTTAATTCTTATTTTTAAAATGTAATTAACAATTTGATAATGTGCATAACTATATTTATTTGTTAGCTAAAATAACTTCAGGAGAATTTATCCATTTTAACCAAATATGGATAAGAAAATATTTGATTTATAAAATAGGTCCAAGCAACTTCAAATAAAGAAATTGTATAAATACTTGACAAATTTTTTTTTAGAAATTAAGCACATAGTACTAAACTCCTGATAATTAATCAAATCAGATTTATAAAAACAGATGCTTAATAGAAGAAAACTTATTAATATTGTTTAAAGTAATCAGTAATATGTTGAATTAATAAAATAAACCGGAATAGTAATCGGAATAATCTCCCCCATAATAGTCATTATAATTGTAGTCATAATAAGGGTCCGTTCCATAACCGTAAGCGTCACTGTTATAGTCATCTCCGCCATAAGAATAGGCATAGTTCTGATTAAAAAAAATTATAAGATAAGGAAGGAAGGAAGGAAGGAAGGAAGGAAGGAAGGAAGGAAGGAAGGAAGGAAGGAAGGAAGGAAGGAAGGAAGGAAGGAAGGAAGGAAGGAAGGAAGGAAGGAAGGAAGGAAGGAAGGGAGGGAGGAAGGAAGGAAGGAAGAAGTTAAAGGGGGAATATATAAAATCAACAAAAAGGTCCTAACATCGTCATAGGCATATTTAGAATCGTAATCGTCGTAATATTCTCCATAATTATAATTGTAATAGGGGTCTGCGCTATAGGCATCGCTAGCACCATATTGTGAGGTGTCATAGCCATAACTCTATATATATTTATTTAAATCATATAATATAAAATAAAGGTATCTCAATGAAAATAAAAAAACCCAAATAATTTCATTAAAGATAAAAAATTAAGCCTATTTAATAGGTAAATTAAAGTGTTACAATTTGTTTGTGAAAACTTTTATAGAATTGTATATTTAGGTTTAAAATATTTTCGTAATATCAAAAAGAAAATGTACAAGACTTATACATTTATTTTTTCAATGTTAACATATTTAGATTTATTCTCATTATTAAAAAAACCATATAAAATGGGCATTTAAGGGCGACTCGATTATGATTTTATAGTTTTGATTGGATTTATGGATGCTTTGGAATTAATTTTTTTAATTATCAATATGGGAGTAGTTATTTAATCTATTTATCTCTATAGACCTAAGATATTATCATTATCACTTTATATATCTCTAAAAAATGTAACAATTTAATTATTACAGATAAGCTTTATAAAAATCTTTATTGTTATATAAATTTAATATGCTGGGGTAGGTTATTTTCTAACCATTTGGCATTACTTCATCAAGCTTATTTCTTGTTTTAAAACCATGTGTTATAAACCTCCTTAACTTGAAGCGTATACATTCTGACCCCCCCCCCTCACTTCCGCTAACTTAAATATTTATTACCATATTAAGTTAAAATTAAAATCTTAATTAAAACAAATTTTAATGCCAAAATATTATTAATCGTAAAATTCACTTACATAATCATATCCGTAAGATTTATCCGCGTCGTCTGTATAAGCTACCGTTGTGTCCTACGATTTATAAACATTTTTTAAAAATAATTAATATAATATTTATTTTTCTGATTAATTATTAATTTTATGAGATTCTGATTAATTAAAATATTTTGACTAAACTATGCTGCTCGTGTGACAGGCGGGAGATGGTGGATTCTTTAGAAAGTTGAAGGGGGAACCATTTTTTAAGCACTTCTATTTTAGTCTCGATAAACGATATTTAAAACTTTAATTAATCTCCTTGGCAGAGGTATAAGTAGAGCTATTTGCTTGCACAGTTAGTAATGAGTTTTAATAGATCTAAGTCTGGTGGGGTCAAATTCATTTATGAAAGTTAAATTATCAACCTCTTTTAGAGAAAAAGACATGACATTTATGAAAGTTATCTCCAAAAAAATCAAACAATGGCATCCATAATTATTTTCCTATTATTATTGAATGTCAGCTCTTAATCGCATCATAACCCATACAATTGTGTGCTTCCCAATCTTATTAACCTCCTTAATATTTTTTTTATATAAATCTTTTATTTTTTTTTCAGGTTCTCCATTTCCTCCACCTTTATTGAACCTTTTATCTTTGCATCAGCATTTATTAAACCTTACTACATAACTCACATTGTCCTATGTATTTATATTTATCTATTCTCAGTCAGATATATGCTGATCATGATTCCATTTTTTCCGCTTTATATACACTAAATTCTTGCAGTAAGTATTCATCTTAAAATTCTAATCATCATAGATGCTTTTAATTTTTATTATAAACCATGCCTTATGGGTAAATATAGAGTGTATTACGTTTTTTTACTGCTATAATATGTTATCTTTATAATAATAATTTTTTAAATGATAAAACTTTGAGTGGGGGTAAAGCGCCTGCAAAAACGGGTGGCTTTGCGGTGACGGGAACAGATGTGGGCGGGGGCTTAGATAAATCCACAGGTTTAGGTGGCCCACCAGGACTTAACGGAGGTGCAGTACCAGGAGGCATCGGAGGTCTGGGCTGACCCGCTCCAGCAGGTCTGGCACCTACGAAATGATAAAAACAATACACAATATTATTTATTAAAATCTTTAATATTATAACTTTTTAAAGCTAAAAATTGAAATTAATTAAAGTTAATTTAAAAACTTATGAATTTATATTATAAATTCATTTATGAAAACAACATACCAGATATAGCTCCGGGTGGAGGTTGGCCAGCAGGCCTTGCCCCTGGTGGAGGTGGCGGTCCAGCAGGCCTTGCTCCTGAAGGAGGTAGCATCGCTCCGGGAGGAGGGGGACCTGTGGGTATTTTTCCATCAGGGCCGGGTGGTCGAACAGGATCTCCCCCTGGGGGTGGAGGTGGTAGACCAGAAGCAACCTTCAAAGTAGCCGTTTTAGTTTTATCCTTATCCGCTCCTTTGTCATCTTTGCCTTTATCATCTTTACCACCCTTTTCTTTTTCAGCCTTTTCTTTAGCTAGAAGGGACGGTGTTTTGGCCGAGTCCTTGGCTTATCGAAGTTTGATGATGCAAAAACGATATTGGATTTATGTGTATGTGAAAATATAAAGTTTTTTTTTCTTTAATAATATTTATTTAAAAAAAGATATAAGGTTTTTTTTATAAAGAATAGAATACCATTTTATATTTAAGATATACAAGACATTTTAGTGGTATCATAGATTCTAAATTAATTTTAAAAAATTCAATCTGGAAGAATCTATCTAATTCAATGAGTAAAATCTCAGCTCAACTTATAGAATTCCTCAATCGCAAAGAGCCAAAATTAGTAAATTATATCTCAAATTTATTAGTTTGAGTGCAATTTGAATTTTTTTAATTTATCTCATCAAGATATTTTTGCATAAAAATTACAAAATATTTACTTTGGAAACACATGATGGCTAGCTATGATTAAGAAAACTATTTTATTAAAATAAAATGATTTATGATACAATATATCTAAAATTTTAAAGTATTATAAAATAATATAAATTTGAATATAAAATAAAATAAAATAAAATGAAATAAGTTAGTAAAAATCGCGCAAGTAGAAATCGCGATATATTTTATAAATGGTTATTATAAATTATTTTAATTAATATTATAATTTATTTTAATTAATATTACAATTTATTTTAATTAATATTATAATTTATTTTAATTAATATTATAATTTGTTTTAATTAATATTATAATTTATTTTAATTAATATTATAATTTATTTTAATTAATAATATAATTTATTTTAATTAATATTATAATTTATTTAAATTATTTTTATATTATATTTTTATTCATTTATTTTATTTTATTTTAATTAATATATTATTTTATTTTAATTAATATTAAAATGTCATTTTATTTAACATCCATAACACTTATAAACGATTATTTAAAAACTTTTAGCCTTTTTAGGTAAAATTTGATCAAAAATCTACATCTTCATAAAAATAACTCAAAAATTAAATTTTGAGAAGATTTTTTCAAACTTTTTTGTGCGACATATTTACACCTCAAACAATCAATAAAAAAATTTACTAAACTCACATGGCTTGATAGTTTAATATAAACTTTACCTAACATAACTAAAATATAATATTACTCGATTTTTTTCCGATCCCTGTACTTCCAGCTGCTAATTTTTCCTTTTTCTTCTTATGATAAACGTAGCCAGCTACGACCATAACTATAATCAAGAAGACTATTATTATTACTATAATAGCCCAAATCATGGGATTCTTTATTTTTCCGCTTCCCCCAAACGCTCCCGGAACAGAATTTTGGTAGACCGAAATATCTGGACTTTCTGGAGGGAAAATGAGGGGGGGGGGGTAGGAAAAATATTTTTTTTAGTAAATATAATTGTTACTTAAACATTAATATGATAGGGCTGTGCCAATATTTAATATTAAATAGGATCGGAAGCGATATCTCGCGTTTGGAGTTTCGCGTTTTCAAAAAATATCAGATGGGCCAAAATTTTTAAATAAACCGATCCTATCCGATATTTAAAAAAAATAAATACTTCTATCCATAAAAATGGCAGGTGGTGAACATCATTATGTTGATAAGAAATAAAGAGATATTAAATTCTTATTAGCATTATTTAATTACAAGTGATTTGATTAAATTTTAAAATAATCAAACTCCATCATAAATTACAATAGTATTATGTCTATAATGTAAAATTGTTTGCTGCTAATTTTTAAAGTTTTAACATATAAAATTTACACTGATAAATTCCTGCTTTCAAGGCAGGTTGTACAATGGTAAGAAATCAAGACAGATTAAATTCTTACAATACATATTAGGATTATCCCACTTTAAGAGAATTGATTGAATTTAAAATAACCTAATACCATCACATTATAATAGCATTATGTCTAATGTAAAATTGATAGCTTCTAGTTTGAATACATAAAATTATATTGATAAATGCCTGCTTTCATGGCAGATGGTGAACAACATAACTGCTAATTTGAAAGATTGATGTATATAATTATTATATACTTAAATGTATGCATCCAAAAATGATGAAGTTCAGTTATGAATTCTCAGATGATATAATAAAAATATTAATGGATAATCGGTGGATTGTAATACCCAATAGTAGACCCACATATTATGTTGGATAGAAGTATCTGTTCTCAATGCAGAATATTTTGGAAATGGCTATTTAAGGACCCATAGTGTGAATGGACAAAGATGCCCCTGGCTCTGTCCCTTCTACCTCTCTTCTAGCAATCCCTAACAGTTCCCTCTTAAATCCTTTGACACAGTTATCAATTCCATCTTCATCAAATTGTGTTGATATTACATCTTCAAACATTCTCGAATCTAATCCAATTTCAAACATTTTCTATTCTAATCCTGACATTCATATCACTAATTTCTTTATTGACCAATTCCTTGGCCTTCCTAAACCTCGTCTGATCTCCAGAATTCCAAGAGGTGCCAGACAAGTGGTTTCTACCAATTATGCCCAATGCGTTGATAGGCTATTAAAGAATTTCTCTTCTAAGGATGTGTGGTCAGCCTTCCTTTTATTTGGTCACAAATCTTTCCAAATTCGCTGCGAACTAGGAATATTAAACTAGCATCTTCTAATGCTAATTATGAACCACATAATATCATAACTCATACATGCAACAAAAAACAGGGCGATTTAAATTTCAAGGTGAAGCTAATCAATAACAAAATAAACAATTTGGATATAAATGGTGCTCTCAGACTATTTAGCTCCTTTGGCACACTTGCTCCAGTGGACGCAGTGTCATACCAAAGACTACTAGACAAGCATCCCCAGACACTGGAAGCTATAATTTATGAAACCAAGAACCACCCTTCTCTGATTTTCACTTCGGAAAGGACGTGGCTCCTTGATTTGTAGGTATCAAACCTTTATCTCTTCAAGATTTAACTACTCCCATCCTTAACAGTCAAACCTCTTTATTGAATAAAATAACTCAAGTATGAAACAAGGTCATTAATGGTGAGGTCCCAGATTTTGCAAGGGCCCTCTTTTTTGGAGCCAAACTTGTCGCTCTGAGAAGAATGGTGATATTAAGCCTATTGCTGTTATTGCTTTATATAGGAGATTATGTTCCAAGTTAATAGCTAGCAAAATTTCTGCACAAGTATCTAACACACTTCTTCCTCTTCAATTTGGGGTTCGTACGAGCTCAGGCTGTGAAGCAGCTGCACATATAACTTGTATTTATGCTCAAAATACTACAATTGCTCAACATCTTGTAAAAATCGATTTTACAAATGCTTACAATTGCATTCACAGAAAAGATAATTTTACAATTTATAAAACATTTCCAAATTTTTACAAACTATATCCTCTCGTCCTATAAGAAACCATCACATTTGATATTTGGCCATCATATCTTAACCTCTTCTGAAGGTATTCAGCAAGGTGATCCCCTAGGCTCCATATTATTATGTTTTGGTATCCATGACTTGATTACTAAAATAAACAATAACTGCACACTGCTCTTCACTTATGGTATATTGATGATGGGGTCATCTCTGGTGAATCTGCAGAGGTGGTAAAGGCTATCAATATTATTAGGGCTTCGACTGACAGCCTCGGACTTGCAATAAATCAAATCAAAACGGTGTACTGCGATATTAATACAATTCCGCAAATACGTTTTTGGTTTTAAGCATGACCCCGTAAAAAATCTATCCCATTTGGGCTCTCCCATTGTTGAGGAGTCAGTGAATTCTTTTTTTTTAGCGATATGGACGATATCTTTGAAAATTTAAAACCATTCTTCCTTGTCTTTCGGCTCACAAGGCCTTTTTTTAATTCGAAATTTCTTCAACATCCCTAAAATCCTTTATGCCCTACGATCGAGCCCATTATTTTTAGAGAGGGAGCATTTAGTGATATTCGAAACCAGAATAAGAGTCATCCTTAGCGACTGCTTAAATATCAAATTTACAGACATAGCTTGACATCAAGCCACACTTCCTTCCAAACATGGCGGCCTTGGTATAAGATCCCCATTGTCGACCTCAATATGTTGGTTCATTGCTAGCCATCTTCAGGCACGTATATTAATTGATCAACATCTATCTGTCCACGACCCTTTTTTGAATACTTCTAAGAGAGAATGGGCAAAATCCGTCACAACCACAACCCTATTTCCGATCTCTGTAAAGGGAAAGGATTGGGATTTACCACTTGTGAAGAACTCCGTTGTTTACCTTATTTCGAGTCTCTCACACCATTGGCTAGATCCACATTTATTAAACTTATCAAAGATCGGGGATATGAATTTTTAGATTTTATTCCATCTACCAATCTCAAACTCGAATTGGACAACCATGAGCTCAGCTATGCTTTATGTATCAGACTTAACATTCCCTTTTCATTACCATATAAATGCAGCAAATGTCATACTGATGATAACAATATGGCCCTGCATCCTTTACAATGCAATCGTAATCCCGGTCGGCAAACTCGACACTTGACAATCGAATCATATCTCTTGCACTCAGATAAGCTGGTTTTCCTACCTCAATGGAGCCTTCTGGCCTTTCCGATAGTAGGCGTCCTGATGAGGTCACACGTATCCCATGGTTTCAAGGAAAATTTATAATATGGGATTTTTCTTGTCTGGACATTAACTCCCTCTACAATTTTAACAAGAACGCTCTGAACAGAGCTCAAAATTTTAATATCGGCAAATACAGCGCTGATTATTCAAATTACATGTTCATACCCATCATTTGCTCCACCTTAACTACACATGGTGATTTGGCTAAAAAAAATTTTGAAGACGTTGGCCGCCTAATCAGAAATAATTATGGAGAGCCTCGCGAAGGTTTTTACTTAAGGCAGAGGATCGCAATAGCCATTCTTAAGGCTAATTATCTTTGTTTTATTAATTCGATCGATGATTAGGTAAAGGAGGTTTTGAATAATTTTGCTGCTTTCGCTTTTATTTATTTTGTGTTTTACATTATTTTATGATCTATGCCTCAATATTGTCCTTTTGTTATTATAATTTTTATTTAATGTTTAAAAAAATAGTTAAAAATTGTAAATTATTTTTTGTCATATTATCTGCAACAAGAAAAGGATTTTAAAATATCGAGCTAGTCACATTCATCTAGTGTTATTAAACGGCTCGATTTGGCCAATTTTTAAAAACTCCGAACTCAAGATATGCTAAAAATAAACAACTCAAGCTTTTGATCTTGCCCATCAATGTCAGGTTTGTACTTCTATTGGCAAAATTTCGAGGCTTATGTTATAATATTTTGGCTTATACCCTTGATTTAAAAAAATCAAAAAATGGAGCTGTTTAACAATTCGTTCTTAAAAATTGCAAATATTGTAAATGAGATTATCAACTTTTGGAGAATAAAAAAAACCAAATACACATTATTTAAAGTTAGTTGGTTTTTTTAAAAATAAAAAATATTGATATTTTTATGATATTGGTTCAAAAATAGATGGTAAAATAAAATTAATATCGGAGTCGGGGTTGGATCTGGTTTATAGCAATATGGAAAATTATAGGATTGGATCGGTGAAATATTTGTGGATCGGCACAGCCCTAATGTAAATACGATGCACATCATATATATTATAATATCAATATGTATTAAATAATATATTTTCATATATTACTTTGAACTTTTTTTACTAAAATTATAAAATCAAATCAAATGTATTTGCAAAAGAAAAACGAAAAGTAACTCATTTTAATTGGTTATAAAGGCAATTAAGATTTACGTATTTTTAAAAAAATATTTTGATATCAATATATTACCCTCAAGACTAACTAGCACATAATAGGATTTAAGGGATTTAATAGAGAAAGAAATAAGGATTAATAATTTGCAAATTTTGATAGTATAACATAATTAATAACCTGCTTCACTGGGATATTTTCTTATGGGGATAGAAAGAGTAGATGACAGGGGTGGTACGCCTCTGTCTTGAGCTTCGATTGTCAAAGTTTCTTCTCCTACAAATAAATGAAAAATAATCATTCCTTCTCTCCTTCTCTCTTTCTCTCTTCTCCTTCCATTTTATCATAAATAAAGGATGATTTATTAACCTGGTTGAAGAGCTGAAGAAGCAACTTTGATCTCCCCAGTTGCCGGTTCAAAGCTAAAGCTAGGAGCTGGCATGTTTTCTTTAAAAGAGACAGGATTTAACGGGTCGCTGCTTATATCCCTATCTATCGCTCTTACTACATATACCAAATCCCCCGGCTTTGCGTCCATAGAAACACCTTTTGCGTACAAAAGAGTTTGTATGCATGGTTTTTATTTCATAAATTGAAAATTGAAAATTTTAAATTAGATGTTAAAAATTTTTTTGATTTTTAAGAGGAAAAAAACTAATTTATTAATTAATCTTTTCTCCAAAAATTGGTTTCTTAACATAAAATGGCAAACACGGCTAACACAAATATTTTACCTGATAAAAAATATGAAATAGGTAGAATCTAGAGAAAAAAAAATTGCAATCTTTTATTTACTAAAATATAATTATTAAAATATAATTATTAGATAAAGTTATCAAGAATGTGCCCATTATTATCTATTCCAATTCTTTGGAAGCTGGTACGCAATACGGAATGGACCTTTCGCATTAGTTTAAAAATTACTTGCAATTCGGTACTTTTTCCTTAGTCAATTTCTTTTATTGCGGGTCAAATGGAACTTTGTTTCTCATTCACAATTAGGGCGAAGAATATAAAAATACAGCATATTTTGTAAACTTCGCCGTGAATTAGCGCTAACTATGAAAGAGGGGTGATTCAAAAACACTTTTAGCAGAATAATTATATTTGACAGACTTTACCTATCCAAATTATTATCTTCCAATAGCGATTAGTGTATTTTCTAACTAATATTTTAATAAGTTTTATTTTTAAAAAAAATACCAAGGGCCTGAATGGGCCTAATAATTTCTGGCGGGTTATCATTAATATCCTTGACTTGAATGTAGACCATTACCGTGGTTTTTAAGCCTCTTCCACCTTCGTCTGTGGCCTAATTGTATTTATTTATAAGACGATATATATACATTTTATAAATGCTATTTAAATAAAATCTAGGTAAACATTTACAGACCATAAGTCAAATTTTTTTAAAAAAAAAAATTTACTTTTCCTTTTTGTAAAACGATAACATTTAAATATCAACTAGTCCTAAATTAATTTTATCTTGTAAAGAGTTTATAACTTTATCACATTCGGGTAGGGCTATACTATAGCATTCGAGTGCTTAATACTATAAGATAGCAATAAAATATGGATATTTTTAACGTTTCTACACGGGAATGCTTAGTATACTTAGTAGATATATCAATTTTTTAAAGTTCCTTTCCAAAAATTTGAATATTTCTTTGTATACTATCCTCTGCTTAAAATAGTTGTATTATTTTTTCAAAGAGTTCCCAGTAATAATTGGATATAAAATATATTTAAAACTATTCTCTAAAACTTATAACTATATATTTATAGTTTTAATTTGTTTTTTAATAATAACACATCCAAAGAAAATGTTCAAACGAGATTGACATGGTATTAGTCTTGCAAAAAAGTCTTGATTTTAGGAAATAAAAGTAAATGATATAGTTATCTCTAGAAAACTTAAATTAGCTCAATAATAAAATATGTATTTACGTTTTTTTTAATATCTGGATAATTTATATAATTATAAGCATACAAAAGTGTCAATATCAATTTGTATATTTTTAAAAAAAACTCAAAATATGATCGTAATTAAACTGATTATGTACTTACATTAAATATAGCACATCTCTAACTGCTTAGATTTAAGTGGGTTTAATTAAATTGGGACGCACTTTAAAAAATGACTACTTTAAAAGTTTATTAATTTAAGTAAAAATAATTATTTTTTCCCTTTTTAAAAAAAAATTATACCTGAACGGTAAGCTCGTAATTAGATTTAGTCTCGGCGTCCAATTTATCGTTCGTCTTCAAATCCCCAAGCTTGGAATCTATGACGAACACATCGTTATCTTTTCCATTCCCTTCTACAATGGAGTAAAATATGGACGCTACATTTCCTGGACCTGGTGCAGGCTCCCCTCTTTTAAGCTTTTTATTATATATTCCGTGTTTGTTCAAAGAATTACTACCTTTGTCCCCAAATTTTTGGTCAGTTATATTTCCTCTTGACGACGACCACAAGGCGGGAAGATGTCTAACCTTTCGTTTGTTATGATTTGTGAATATCCTCCAATCTAAAGGCGCGTCTTCGTAATCTGGATCGTAGGCACGGACCTTATATATTTAAAAAATTATTATTATTATTTAGAGTCATTTATATCAGTAAATGGGTTGCTATTCAGCCATTATTTTCAATAATATATTAACCTCCACAACCCACATCTCTATGTTATTTAACCCTAATTTCGTGGAAAAAGTTGGTTTTCAGAATAACAATGATTCCACTATAATCAAATAAAAGAAGAAGAAAAATTTTGATTTAGGTTCAACTCAAGGAAATTGAAGTTGCAACAGCTGATTTATTTAAATTGTTATTTATTTATAATTACATGATCTGTCCGATTTGAGATGTTATTCTTAAATATGATTAAATTTTATTTAAAAAAAATAACTTTTAATATATATTAACTTATACCTAATCCATATCACTTTAGCATTTAATTACCCTATACCCTTTTTCTCTTTTTAATCTTTAATATCATATTCCCAAATTCAGTTATTTCCTATTTCAATTAATTAGAAAATTTCCTTCAGATTACATACCTTGAATTGAACTATTTTCAAAGGTACTAATCTATAGTAGATGAGTCAATAGCTACCTATTTACCAAATAATCTATATCATCATTAATTATTATACACAAATATGTGAATTATATTTATATAGCGCATCTTTTATTTTTATCAAGAATGGTCCAATGTCATAGTTTTATTTTTAAATTGGTTTCAAAATTACTTTTTATAATTTTGTTTTTATAACATTTTATTTTGTTATTCATCTACAGCACAGTTAATAAAGAATAATTTAAAGCAACAAAATGTGCTAAATAAGCATTACTTAATGGTTCGAAATAAGTTAAAGAATTAATGTTTACAAAAGTTTGCTTAATTCAAACCAGGCGTGATATCATAGTTTTCATTTGTTTATAACATTTTTATGGTTCACAAAACTGATTGAGAAATTAATAAGTACTTGTTAAGCTCAAAATATTAGTGCAAACTATATTTTAGTTCTTCTATACCATTCTGGCATGATGTCAATTTTGGCATTTTTTTCTTATTTTGCTAATATCTTTTTCTTTATACAGTATGCCAAACGGATTAAAACAATAATACTAAGCACTAAACATTGATTTCAAGATAAATTCTTTCAGTGAGTTTTTCTTCTTAAGGTTGCCCAAAATTTTGTTGCTAATAGTTTTTCCCTTTATACTGGCTACTATACTAATTAAAAAAACTCATAGGCACTAAAGCACGATATATACAGGATTTTTGAATTAGTGGAGTTGATATATAGATATTATATTTAAAGCAAGATAAAAAATGATCACAAAGATTTGGTTTTTATGCAGCGATCTTTTATTTTATCTTATCTCTCTACAAAAATTAATAATTAAAATAAATAGGAATAACCTGCATGATGATAGCACCGCTGTGAATGTCTTCAAAGCAGCTAGTTCCATAATAATTGAGGCTAAATACAGGGGGGTATTGGTTGGTCTTATGATTCAAGCCAATGGTAACAACAGTGTGAGAATATTTCCAAGGCCTACCTTTATCATAGGCAAAAGCCGTGACCAGAATACTTACCCTTTTGTCGAAAATTAGAGAGCCTAAATAATTATTGTATAGTAATTGAAAAATAAGAAATAGCAAATAATTTATTTATCCTATCCTATTCTTTCCCCCTCCACTCCTATTATCATTTTTCAAGATAAACAATATCTTAACAAAAATGACGTGTAATAAGAAATTCCAATTTACTCAATACAAAAATCTTCCCAGTTTCATTATCGATGTCGAACAAGTCATCAGTATCCTTCAGCATGTAAACTATTTTCCCGTTGTTACCTTGGTCAGCGTCTTCCGCTATCGCCTTTGATAAATATTTTTTTATGCATAGAACTCTTTTTATGTTTTTTATCTTCTTTCCTTAACCTCGGTCGTAAATTTATAAATATGTGTCTGTGTATTATTAACTAGACTGACTCATTCTTTAAAATGCCATGTAAAACGACGTACATCTGCTGGGTGATACGCCATTTTGGAGCATAAATTTTTTTGAAAGAAACTTAATTATTTATTTTATATTTCATGAAATTTTTAATGTAAATGAAATATATTTATAATGGAAACCAAAATGATGTGCAAAGAGCTAATTTATAAAGCGCCACAAACTAACTCTTACTAATATAGCAATTTGTGCTACATTAAAGTTATGCCAAAAACACTTTTTTATTCTATGCTCAAAGCTGATCTACTTTTCTTAAGCAATGTAATGATATAACTCTCCAAACAAAAAATTGGGCTAGTAGCGCCTTGATATATTATTGGCAAAAATACCCCCGTAAAATTACTACGAACAAAAATGTCCGACATAAATACCAATGGACAAAAAACACCGGGCAAAAAAAAATACATTTAGTTAAAAAAAAATGATATTAAATCGCGAATATATCTAAAATGATGTAAAAGGTAAACTAATGTAATTTTAAAGATTCTATGAAGTATATAATACTTAGTTCATAAGAATATTCGCTATTCGAATAGTAAAAAAAAAATCTTCGAATATAATTCGAATAATATTTGAAATTCGTGAATATTATTCTAACAAATGATCCCAGAAGGACTAGGACATAAATTTTAAAAAAATTATTCGGATTGGACGGATTCAACATGAGTTTTTTAAAACAAAATTTTTAGTTCCTAACCGTTTGAACATAAATTTTTCTAGATTATCTTAAGAAAGATTTTTTGATTAAATATTACCTTAAGTTAGTTTTCTAAAACATATTTTTAAATTTTCCTTAAATATCGTTATTTGTTAAAGTAAAAGTAAATTCTTTTTTTTAGAATAAATCTTTTTCAGGCGCCATTTGCCTATTAAAGTAAGAATTTATTATACTTGTTTACATCCGAATCCAACCCGTCTGATATATTAAAAAGATGGCTGACAAAGTGTTTTTTTTTCTAATTTTGTCAGACCGAGCTCAAGGCGAGCTTAGCAATTAAAAATGTTTAGATTTATGTTTGGATCGGGCCAAAACGCGAACAGGTCTGATGCAGAGTTTTAATTTCTAACTATACTTTGCTTAATAAAACTTCTAATCTATATGAATTCATGATTTTCATAATTGTTATTTATTTTACCTTGATAACTTCTCCCTTAATAGGATAATCATTCGCTATTTCCGCTTTGTAAGGTTTAATAAATATTGGACGATTGTTATTTTTCTCTTTAATGTTGATGTTCAAAGTTGTCTCTGCAGTTTTACGCAATGTAGCACGTAATATTAATACCACAAATGGGGCCTATTTTTTAAAAATATATATCTATTGTCTAGTATTTTAATTTAGATTGAAAATACTATGGTAAAACTCAGCTTGGGTGGCCACTTTTATAAAAAATAGTATCTTTCTTGAATTTACCTATAAAGTCAATATAAATAATCGTGGTAAAATGAAAATCGTTTGTAGATATTTAAAAGTTTCTTTAAAAAAATATAGAGGTTTATTTTTTTGTAATCCGACATACCTGTAAGGGTTGAATGCAGATTTATCTCTATCTTATCTAGAAACATTTCTTAAAAATTATATGCATCTATGTCGATTATTAGATACATTTTATTATAATTTTGTTCTGCGATTTTTTAAATTTAAATTTATTGAAATTCTCTTATTTTTTTTACGGTTCCATGTCAATTCTGCGAAACGTTTATCGCGAATCCACATTAGCCAATAGTATTCCGCGAAGACAATATCGCGAAGACAATATCGCGAAACAAATATCGCGAATTTTTTGTAGAGAAACCCTTATCGCGAAAACTTTAAAACGAATGCACAACGAAACTTTTATCGCTAATCAATAATCGCGGAAATTTTATAACGAACCTAAATCACGAAGATTATATTGCGGAAACTATTTCGCGAAGATATATATTATAGAGAATTTAATATCACGAGGTTAATATTGCGATAACATTATTTTAAAATATTTATTTTTATGATCATATTAATTGAATAATAATTTTTTAAAAAATGATAGTTTTTAATTTTCTTTTAGCCTTAATAAATGTATATAATGATTAAGGAACTATTTGGTTTATAAAATTTATCTTTGGAATAAAAAATATTTCTACCCTGCCCTATGCTTTTCCTCAAAGTCTTATTTTATATGAATCGCGCAAAATGTGTTCTTTAGTTAAACCTTGATCCTTATTGGCGAAATTGATATCTGTATTGCGCCAATATTTATTGTCTAAGGTACTTAATATTTATAAATTCATTAATCAGTTTTGCCAGTCACTAACCAAAAACAGAGTTATAAGTTATTAGATTGACTTTCTAATACTGAATGGCATTTCAAAAATAAATTACATCTAAGTGTAAGGGATTTCCCTAATAAAATATTTCCAATCTTATGATTTTACGATTTTTTTTATCTCTTCTTATTCTATGTCTTATTAACTCAGAAAATTTACTAATAAAATTCGAAGATAATTTAAAAAAATTACTAGCAAAATCTTCATGATAAAAATAATATGAGATCAGCAAAAATTCTTACCTCTTTAAATTTTTTTATCTTGATTGGGAAAATTTCTAAGCATTTCAGAATATTTGTTAAGATTTACTTTTAATGGTATAAAACACATTTTAAAAAAGGAAATTTTTTTTTTGGGGGGGGGGGGGTGGGGGTAAATTTATTAGGGTAAAAACTTGAATTAAAATATCCCCTCCATACTTACAACCAGGAGTGAGAGAGACCTGTAAGAAATTATAATGTATTTTCTAGCACATCCGATAAAGGTTGCATGCTTACCTAATAGACAATAATAAAAAAATATCCTTAAAACATTTCGCGTTTATGATTTATGGAACTTAGGGGTTAAGGGGTTATTTGATTATTCGGGGAGAGAGAAAAGGGAGAGGAGAGTAAATTCGTTGTCAGTTTGAAAAGCACCTTGATTTTACTTATTTGAAGATTATCTTAATAGAAATACTACCATTTAGTTACTAGTGGGAATAATTTTTTATATTATTAAAAATATATTTGATAAATGCCTCATTGATGGAATGTTTTTAATGAAGATTATCTTAATAGAAATACTACCATTTAGTTACTAGTGGGAATAATTTTTTATATGATTAAAAATATATTTGATAAAGTGCCTCATTGATGGAATGTTTTTAATAATTAAAGCTATAAATGATATTTTATATTAATTTAATTATATATTATAAACTACCCATATCAAAAGATAACGCCAATTTTTACTTTATGAAATGCAATATTAAAAGCTTTATTAAGATAGGACGAAATATTTTATTTTCATAATTATTATATTATCAGATATTGTTCTCAATATTCATCAGAATGGTATGGTTTATTTACCTTGCGTACGGCATTATTGCGAATCACTGGCGTATCCAGGATTTAGCTGGTAAGGGGGGGGGGGAAGGGGCGCTATCAGATAAATTTTTTCCCCATAATTTTGTTGGAGATCTTTTAATACACTTATTGTATAAAAATAATTTTGGGTTTTCACCTTTTTTTTGTTAAAATGGTTTTTTTCTAAAAATTTTAAATTATAGTCGTTATTTTAAAAAGTATTCAATTTTTACTAATTTTTCTTTAAAATTCTTCCTTATAATGATATATTGTATATTTTTTGGGGAGAGAGATGGTTGAAGGGGGGGGGGGGGAGTGGAGTGGTGTTAAGGGGGGAAATTTTTATTAGCTTAAAAGGATATTTACAAAAACAGAAAAATTTGCGATATGGATGATTTCCCCTTTCCATTGGTTATGCGCTTGTTGCGAATACTCTCAAACTCCAATACAAACTTATACCCATCGTCAAAAACAACTTTTGGCCATTCGGTAAAGGTCCAATCTTTATATTTCTTTGCGATATAGTAACGTTTCTTTTGGTTAAATGTTAATAGAGATTTTTTCTTGGCCTATTATTAAACCAAAAAGAGTTTCGTATAAAAATTAGAATACTTTATAAAATCTTTCTGTTCAAGTGGAGATAGATAGTTATTGTCTTATCCTATAATTTTTAAGTCAAATGAACAAAATTTTTTGGCAATTTTCCTGATAATTTTTTGCAAACTATCCATGAATGTTGTTAAATTTTGTCGCTTTTAGAAGCCAATGCTAACAGATTTGACAAGATCAATTAATATATTAATATATTCTTGATCTTTTCTGCTTAGGTGGAGTTTTTCGGTTGTAGCTGAATTATTCATTTTTGTTTTTGTAAATCAAGCATTTTCTCCTGAATAATTGATTCAGTTAGAATTCATGGGGTATTTGAAATTAAAATTCAAAAATAATTAGGAAAAACTAAAGCTTAACTATGCTTTTGCAGATATTTATAAGCGGTTGATCTTTCCTACACTATGACATTAGTTATGACCATGTAAAACAATGACTAAAATACGAAAATAAAAAACAGTGTCATTTTTTAACTAAAATATTTTGCTATAAATTGCCATAATGTTGAATTAAGTTATCCAGAATAAATTATTAAATCATCATTGGGCTCTTGAAACCAACCTTAAATTACCATATGAAAATCACTTTGGTCAAAACATAACTAATACAAAATTTTGGGTGCAAAGATTCGTATAAGATACAAATTATAAAACCGAAGCTATTTTTGGTTTTTTATATATCAAACTGAATTAAAAATGTTAGCCTTATTTCATAACGAGCTATAATAATAGATTTTTAATTTTGATAATCATACTAGAGGTCTGCAATGGGCCAACCCTAACGCCCCATGATCATTTGGCCCTAAAAAAATTTAATTTATTCTCCTGGTAGCTCCATTGTTTTAAAAATAATTTTCCCACCAATGTTTACTTTTTTTAACCCATTCATTACAGACTTCTAAATAATACCTCACGTGATTATAAAATTATATTGTATCTTATTGATCTTAAATAATAATATATGTATAAGTACTTTTTAAAAGAATATTTTAATCTCGATACTTATGAAAAAAAAATATCTTTCGAAAAACTGGTGAAGTAACTTTTGAGCCTTAGCGCCGAATCTTTTAGGAGCGCTATTATGTCTAGCCCAATGACATATAATAATACCTAGACTGACGATTCATTCATTAAAATGCATTTTTAACCGTCGTTAAAAGCAAATCAGCTGGACCCGCCATTTTGGTAACCTTTATAATAATTATTTTCATGTTAAACACTAATATTAAATTGATAACTTACTTTCTTATTATCTCGATGATCAGGCAATTCTTTAATAAAGTTTGCATCAGATATAATATAAAATTAGGCTCTCGTTTAAAATTTTAATATTTATTACAGTAACCAAGATGGCGTCTCTAGCTGATTTGTATTGATGTACACTTTTAATGAATGAATCGTCAGTCTAGGTATTATTATATGTCATTGGTCTAGCCAAAACTTAAGGATTTTTCCTTCATATAAATATTTATCATTTAGAAAAATTTTTACAGATGACTAACTCCAAAAGGAATTTTACTTCCTTTCTTATAGGAAATGGTTTAAAGAAAAATTTCTTATAAATTTTATATAAATTATTAAATAAATTTAATATTATTATTATTATTGTATATTGTATATGTTAGCGTCAATTATTTTTCCAAATGTGTTATTTTTTCAATTTTAATCATATTTTTTTAGCGCCTTTTGAAAATCGGGATTTTATCAGAATTGTATTCCAGGGTGTTTAGAATACCTATCCTGTATTTCAGACAATTTTGCCCTTAACTTTCGGGTCATTTACAAAAATTTCTAGAAAAAAATCATTCAATCAATTAAGTTTAATAATTCACTTAATTTATATTGTCTTTTATATAAATTTTTCACATAAATTAAATACACAAATGTTTATGGAGAAAATTAAGTGAAATTTATGGAATAGGCACTCTACATATGCAGGATATATTTCTGGGTAAATTGAATTTCAGAATTTTTAAAATCACCCTTGGTGAATGATCTAAACTTGATAGATTACAAATCCCCATAGAATCGAGATTCCATATCCAAATCAGAGACCTTTATGGGCACAAATTTTTTATTTATCTAGCACGGCCCAGGGCTTCAATAAAAATTGTAAGCCCAGGTTCTATCCATATTTAAAAAATTTTTATAAGCCCGGCTCAAGCCCATAATAAGTTTCAACCGGCCAAAACGAAAGTCCAAAATTAAATTTATTGTACTCAATAAAAATAAACAATTTTTCAGTGTATTTAGGCAATAATTTTGCTTGCAATACTGAATTTTATTATTGTAGAAGTTTTTAAGTTATCAACTGTTTTAAATAAGCTAAATTTTAAGAAAATTTTAGGCCCAAGGCTATTTTAAAAAAATTCAAAAACCCAGGCCTGTCCAGGCTCATTGAAAAATATAATTTTAGATGGGCCGGATGGCCAGATCCATGATATCCCAATACGATATATAATTTGAAAAATACATCTTCTTACCAAATTTTAACTTTTTCTTGACTCTACAAATCAATAGATAGGGGCTGCCACCCTAGCTGGGTTTCTCCTAATACTATTTAATTACTAAATTTTCCAATTCGTCATAATTTATAAGCTAATTTTAGTTATATAAACTCTCACTTTTGTAGGGTTTTACATATATGGATAAAAGCTTAGTACCTTCCCATTTGGAAACATTTTTCCGTAATCAAGCATTTCCGCACTGATAACGCAGAGTCTGGGTATACCTGTGTATTTTATATGCAATAATATCATAGATTATAAATCCTGAACATAAAACTTGGAACTCTTTAGGGAGCAAATTGATTGTCCGAACAAAATTGGGATAGTGGAATCCACTTTTCAAAATTTTAGAAATCGGAAACCAGAGTCAAAACCCTATTTTAAAAATATTCTACGAAACTCCTTGTGACTCTGTTTCCAGAATTTAACTATATATGTTAACTGCAATGTGCATAAACGGACAATATAAATTTAATATCTTATGGAATTGCCCGAGGTTTATAAGGTCGGTGTATTTTTAATATATTTCTGTCAAATCAGATTTTTTTTAAAAAAATTAAAAACGCTCTAAATAAGTTTAGTTGGAAAATAGTTAACCAAATAAACGCGTTCCTGAACGAAGTTCGTTTTTTTAAAAAAAAAACAATATCCTTTTATTTTTAATAAGCTCTGAAAATGAAGGCGTTCCTTTTTTGACGAATGCTTCCGTGTTTTAAGTTCGTTCAATTTTAATAAATCTTCACATTTTTATTTATTTGAAAATAAAAAAATTCAAATATTAACCCGAATTTTTTAAGAAAGAGGGTTATTTTTTATTCTGTTTCCTTCATCACGTTTGTATTTTTTAACCCGCTACTATTTCTGTCCTGTATTATAGTTTATTAATTTAAATATTCTTATTTATATTTTATAGATTATAGTAAGAATGAATTTTGTTATTTCATCATCATCTAATTCTGATTATCAAGGCCCAAATATAATAAATACTTTACAGTAACATCCTATATTCAAGAAACTAATCCTATCTTTACCAAGTGTAAATGTGTCCAAAAAATGGATTATAATATTTATTATTTTATATAATATAACTATATGTAGCCTGTTAATAATTTATTTTAAATTGTTGCATTTTATAGGCTTAGAAATCATTATGATTATTATAATAGATGCATAAAGTAAAAATCATTAAATGCTATACATTATATACCTAGTATAAAATAGTTAATTCGAATTTATTTTTCGTATGAGTCAAATTAAAACTATTGTGTTGAAAAAATATAAGGTATTTATTAAATTAAATACTAATTAAAATTTTTAAAAAATTTGTTTTTAAAGTTTTGCACAAATGTGAATGCGTTAGCGTTAAACGCAAAAGAGAACAAACGCGAACGTTAATTAAGAAATTTTAGAGCACTATAAAATAGTAAAAATATTATGTCGTGTTCGTTTTAAAATTTGAAAATTGATTTAACTGAAAAATATGTCAGTGCATGTGTAAAAATACCTATCCTTTAATTTCAGACGATTTGGTCTGAGAAATTGAATTATATACACATTAAAATGACGCGGGTGGATTAAAATTATATTGTATATATTGCCAATTCATTTTTTAAATGCATTTAAAAGTGTCCATGCATAAGAGTCCGCTGTAGCACAATTTTATGGTTTAACGTCAATTAAATGGTAATAATATGTATTTATATAATGATAAATAATACAATTGGTTGAGGTGCACTACAAAATGGCGCTACATTTGACCCCTTTGCATTTTTATGAATTGACAATCTAGTAGTGTATATACATTATTGCTAAACTATAAATCAGCAACAATTATACGTCTTGATTGATTACTCGAATATTATATGTTTACAATATACTTTATGGTTAGTAGGAATTAGGTGCAAAATTATATTTTATATTTATTATATATTTTTTTAAACAATTTTACCGTTATTTCCATCCACCTTAAAGTAATCGTTTACCTCTAAAGAATATACAATACGTGACATATCGCAAGCTCCGCAAAGCGCTCTAGCCTGTAAACAATTAAATGTTATTCGAAAAATTTAGAGGTAAAAAAATAATTTTATATCTTTTTAATTATAATGTTCTCAAATTTCATGGGAGGTAAAAACTATCTCACAATTATTTTCTAAAAATAATTTTTAAAAAATATATTAATTTTGATATACTATACTTACATCTGCGATGTCTATACATGCCAAGGTTTTCTCTTCAAGGGAAAAATTGAAGGATTTCCTGTTAAATCCAATATCAATCACAGTATCTACCTTGGGATTCAATGCACCTTTTAAGGGTGGTTTTAGCTTGATTCTATTATTTGTGGCAGAATTTTTAGAAGATACCGGGCTTATTTTTAGTCCACTTCCACAAAAATCTATACTGACTCGAACCCAAAATATCTTCAATAACTTATATTTACGTCGTTTGACTTTCGAATGATATTTTTTAAAAGAAAGAGGATTAGTATAAAATTTGCTTAAGTGTATCATGGGTCTATTAAATAAAAAATTATTTTCTTTTTAAAAAAAAAAATCAAATCAAAACGTGGAGACAAATTAATGTTAAATAATAGAGGTTTTGATATGTTTTCAATAACCTTTTTCAAAAAAAAATACATAACTTACGACTATAGAAACTCCTATATTTAACCAGAGAGCAAAATTTTTAAAACAGAATCAGTAGAGTCAGGACTTTTAAAAATCCTTAATCCAGAATCTTAAAGTAGAGAGACGATTTTGAAAACTCTTGTTAAGTAAAAATTTGAGAATTTTTTTTAGAGCATTTAAATTACATAACGACACTCAGTATTGCCAATTACTAAAGAATCTAGTCTCTGATTAACAACGATTTTCATACATCCATATAATATAATATAACCTCGTAATTTTGATCACTATCATATGCCAAATTTTAATGTATAATCATTCCTATATTGATTATATTAATATTAATAATATTTTGACATTTTAAAATTTACTCCTTTAAGATTCGATTAATAAAATATTCACGTTAAGTGAATAGCTCTTTCCTCAATACCTCCTATTACCTTAACGAAATTAGCTACATTTATTGCTTTAAAAAAAAGCCTTACTAAAAGTTTTATATAACCAATTTTTGATATTTTTAGAAATCAATTTTTTTTCGTTCAATTAAATTTCAAAAATATAAAAATGTGGTTCTAATTTCTTTTAAAATATTATTTAAAAAATTAATAAAATTTCTTCTAGTAAATATCATATTGGTTTGATATGTCTTGGACAAATAAAATTAAGTATCATGAAAAGCTTAAAAAAAAAACTCCTGTTTTTGAGGATTCTCAGCAAAATCTTCATTTTTAAAAAAAATCAGATCAAAAATTCCTGAAAAAGTTTTATTGAAGAGGATTTTAAACTCTGAGGCAAATGATTTGAATCTAACAAAGAACAAGTCAAAATTTTTATTTTTTTAGAAAAAACGAACTCTAAATGTTATGAATCATTTTAATTTTCTAAAGCTAATCGATGGTCCTAATTTTTAGTGAGATAATAAATTTGAGACGATTATTAGATTTAGAAATTCGGACATATCCCTGCCCCGCCCGGATCATCTAAAGTTAGGTCATATAAGTAAGGACCTAATTCTATCTCAAATTTTATTTTTTTTTAAAAAAAATCAAAATGAATAATGCAAACATTATAAATCAAATTAAATAAATAAACTTTTTGGGGAAATGTTTTTGGAGAGTATACCGCTTCTATATACATTGACAAAAAATTTATAGATTGTCATGGTAGGAGATGCCAAAAATAGAGCGACATCCGTAATGACTACTCTGCCATCTCTACGCATTTTTATTGGAATAATATTCGTAACTTGTTTATCCAATTTATATATTAACGCGGTCGAGTTGTTTACAAATCCTGTCTTGTTTAGAAATATCTTTATTTTTTTAAAAAATAATGAATAAATAGTAAAGCAATATATGAGGGAGAAGGAGGGGGGAGGAAAAGAACCACAAAAAAAACTCACTTTTCCTAAGTTCCAACCTTCCAAACTATTATTTGTCTTTGCCTGAGTATCCTCAGAAAGGGTTATCTTAAATTCGACCGTTTCATAAGTCGAGTTGATTCTCCAAGTTGTGTTTGTCGACTCAGAATAGTGTTCACTGTAATTCCATACGGTTTTATCAGAGTATAGATTATCACGGAATTTGTCATTAACTATTCCATCTATAGGTATTACTGTTGTTTCTTTGATAGTAGCAAGTATACCATTGATCGCATGACAAGTGTGTCTATTTGACAATGAAAATATTATCGAGAGAAGAATAAATTGTGATACGAAGAACCAGTTTTTTTTTCTGAATTTGATTAAGAGATGCAAGTTTCGAAGAATCTTCGGCATATAAAAAAGTGCAGAATATATATAAACTAATGCTGTTATATAATATATGTATTTAAATATGATTATCTTATCTTCCTATTTTATGCTATCACCAATAATGGGAGAGTTTAAAATTTGATAAAGAAATATATTCGAAGGATGGTCAACTCTATTACATCACCTTAGCCGATAAACAGACCCATAAAAAAATTCCCTTTAGGTCTGATATAAAATCTACACACATTTTGTCTGAACCTATACTTAGAATAAATTGGGGGAAAATATTCAGATGATCTGCTTGATTTACTCAAAACTCAAATAATGGGTAGGGTTAAGTAAAAAAAGAGTGTAATATTACCGTTAAAGATGCTATTTTATAGTATAATAAGTTTAAAAAAAAGAATAATAAATATTATGGTGTAGATAAAATGGGAATTGTCATAAGAATCTCATACATCACTTAGGAGTAACAATGATCAGCGTGCCTTAATTTAATTAGTATTCTTATTGGTGCAGAACCCATTTATTTTAGCATGCATGCTTAAATCTAATAAACATCTTCTAATATAACTAGAATATGGCCTACTTACCCACTCTCTTTTTATTAAATTCATCGAATTATTCATAAGCAGAGGCGGTTTAAATCAAAATCTTGCCCCCTCTACAATGTATATAGAGTTCCTATCCATAATTTATTATCCTATGCTTCTTGTATCAATCTGGCATAGGTCCCCCCCGCGTCACGAGAATTGCAGGGGCTGAATCTCTACCAACAAGCGATAAAAAGTTTAGTTCTCAAAATATTTATTTTAATTAAATGAAGAGTTATTATTACCTGAAACATTTCTGGTAAGGTATGTATTATG